TCACTTTTTACGGTTGGATATCGTATCGTATAACTTCTTACGAGTTATATACTGTGTCGTAGCAAAGACGTGGACTTTTCGAGTCGATAAAATAGAGGGTGATCCTTGTTTGTTCTCTTCGGGAAAATGAAGTGAGTGATGAATCTTCAATAAAAATCGAGAGCATGCTAGTTAAGATTCGTTGAGGAACTACAGGGCTTTGAAGTGTATCAGGGTGATGTAGAGTTTTTTATACGATGTCTTAATAGGTATACATGTCAGAAATATTTCGAAGTTGTTGAATATGCTTGATTGAAGATTATTATAGGTAATCAAAGACGTATATTTACAGTGGATACAATACATTTACATGAATACAACTTTATTGCATATACTTATATATTTTTCTGCTGTATTAGAATAATTTGAGCTGCTCTTCAAGTAGAATTTTTGCTTTCAATTCATCCCGAAAAGATGCAGAATATTTTCACTTACTCATATTGTGAGTGATAGCGTCCTGATGCAGAAAAACGCCCTGTAGTTCCTTAACGAACCCTACTACAAAGGTGCCTACAGTATAATACAAATGTATGAAACATAAAATTCTAACTTTTTTCATTGAAAACAGTTTTTTTTTAGTTCAGACTTTTTTCTCGGAATTCGGAATATATTCTTCGAATTCAGATTATTTTCTTTGTAATCAGACTTGGCCCTGATATATACAGGGTGTTTCAAAACTGGGTGGCAAAACATTTCTTGAGCTTGTGTATGAAAAAATGCTTGTGGTTAGGTCAACTTTTGAATGCTTGCAATATCTATTCTAATGCCAGTTATCTGAAGATTCTTTTCGAACCATTGTGATGGAGACAAGAGTAGTTGCCGTCAAGTAGTTAGTATTGTGATTTTGGTACTCCTTTTTTTTGTTTCAGTGATCTTTGACCATTTCCAACGTACTTCTATTTACCGTTCTACTTATTTCCATGCTGAATTCATTAATCATCATTGATCATTTATTGTAAATGTAATTTTTCTTCAGTTTTTTCTTCAATATTCTTTCTTTTTCATCATCAATGAATATCATGTAAGCTGATGATGAATCTATTTAGGTTCGAAACATGTTTTTCTACTAGTAAAATCGTCTAGATTTTGATTATACAATAGTGGAGATGCAACTGAGAGTTTAGCTTTATCCATTTACTCCACTTTGAGATACCATGAACTTCTACTACAGAATAATTCAATGATTTTATGCACAACTGGGCGTGAAGTAGCATTTTACCTCCTGTTTTTGTGGGCGTGAAGTGGCACTTTACCGCCCGCGGAGTACTGTGCCGTCTGGCGTATCAATTACTCGTTATAGGCATTCCTGTATAAATCAGGATATTATGTTTTAGTTGTGATGGTTCCTTATCTCATATTATTACAGTTCTCTTGATATATCTGATATGAAAAATGATATGATCGAACCTCGGACCGAACCAGAAATAAGTTATCTGTGATGACATTAATTGACAGCGAATGAAATTAGTGGTGCCCGCGAGAGTCTCGTTTTCGAGAGTCTCTCATGGTCTCGTCTCGTTTTCGAGACAAGACTCGAGACGAGACTCGGACAAGAAGAGACGAGACTTTTATTGGTCTCGTCTCGAGTCTCGTGCAAGACGTCTCGTGCGAGAGTCTCGCAGGTGAATATTTCTGCGTGCCGACTGCAGATTTGAGAATTTCATTCATAATGAAACATATTTAGAAAAAATTCATCGGAATCGCCTTAATAATGAATCTGCACGATGTTTGTTATGTCTTAACGACTGGGTGAAAAACAAAAACATTTGCGATCGTGAAGGCTGATCTGACTGATAAAGGTTTTTTTTTCTCTAATCGGCAGGGATAGTGGCTTTTTTCTGCCGCTTAACAGGCAGAAAAGGTGTACTTTTGCTGCCTAAGCAGAAAAAGTTTGTTGCTATGCAACGTTCCAAAAAATTCTAATGAAATTAGTAATCAAAATCGACGCTGACATTGGGGGAACACAAAATAATGATGAAAAAATACACAAAAATGGTTTTATATCATTTGGAGAAGAAATTTTATGTTTCACACGGCAGCAAATGTAGATTGACCACTTTTCTGCCTAGTAAAACAAATTACTATTTTCTTTGAAACTCATTTCTCAAATAAGTAAAATATTGTTGGGTTAAAGTTTTTGTTTTGTTTATTTGTTTAGAACATACGTGTTACTTTTTATATTATTTTTATAACTTTCGAATATAATATAATGCTATGTTTTTTCTTCTTGTTTAGATGTATGATGTAAGTATGTACCTATTAGGTACTTACTTTTCAATAAATAATGTTATTTTTGTTGTAATTTTCTCTTCCTACTTCTACATTATACCTAAAAAGTAGGTAAAGGTAAATATCCCGTACTAGACTGGAACAAGATTATGCATGACGAAATTGCGATACTTTTGCGAGACTCTCGTACGAGACGCGAGACAAGACGAGACTCGGGGCTGCAAGACGAGACTCGAGACAAGACTTCATATTTTATCGGCGAGACGAGACGAGACTTTATAAAAGTCTCGTCTCGTTGGTCTCGTGTGAATCACTAAATGAAATACTCCTTTTTCAAAAAATTGACTGCAGCAAGAGGTATTCACAATGAAAAATCAAATATACCGGTCGTGCATAAAATGTTGTATGTATTTCAGGCGTATACCTTGCTTTTATGTGTGTTAATAGCCATCGTTTGGGCCATTACTTACACGTTGCGGACCAGAAAAGCCTACTTTGCGCACTCGATGCATAAATAACTATTGCCTCATTATCCTGATCAGGATCTTCAGGCTGAGCGATATTTTTCTCGAATGAAATGGTGAATGAGGCTCCGCCACCAAAAACTGAAAAAGATCCTTCACCAAATACTCAAATGTTTATTCTTCGAAGAACTTTACACAGCTTTTTCCTCACTTCACTGCGTGGAGGTATATAAAATATATATTAAAATCTAACAAACACGCCTTTATAGATATCCAAATTGAAAAGAAGTAGAAAATAAAATAAAAGTGTGTTGATAAATAATACACAACATTGAAATTACAATATTTCAAGTATTTAGTCAACAACATGGTTTTTGCAGTAACAAAAGCACAGAATCGGCACTCTGTGAGTTTAGTCAGAGAATAATTTCAAGTATTGACAAAACATTTTTGTTTTGGGTATTTTCATTGACTTCTCAAAGGCTTTCGATCTAGTGAATCATCAGTTACTTTGTGCCAAGCTAGAAAGATCTGGAATAAGAGGTTTGCCACTGAATTGAAAAGATTCTTATCTCAGCAGGAGGAAACAAATAATTAGAGTGAACAATACTTTTTCTGATGAAATGGACATCGAGCAAACTATTTGAAGGCTCTTATAATGAAATAACAAGCAGCATGTCAGTAAAACTATTGGGAGTTACTTTCGACAGATAGCTTCATTGGGTCGATCATATTAATAATTTATGATGAACCACTGCAGTCGTCATATATACTACTCTCGTTGCACTATGCCAATTTCCATTCCCATATAAAGTACGCGGTTATGAATTGGGGCAATTGTGCTCATGTGAATAGAGTACTGGTTCTTCAGAAGTATGCAATTCGAATTCTTGCTACTTGCTAGTGTTGATATGAGCACGAGTTGCAGAGCATATTTCAGAACAGCCAACATCCTAACCGTTGTTAGTTTGTATATACTAGAAGTTTGTTTATACGTTTATAAAAATAATAACATGTTTTGATAACTGTTGAGAAGCACAATCATAATACACGCTTCAAAAGCCACCTTCAACCTGAGAGACACCGGACTACGTTGTACGAGAAAAGTTTTTATTAAACTGGCTGTAAACTCTTGATGAACAAATTAAGAGCTCCCTGAACTTGAATATATTTAGAAAGAGACTCGAGCTAATTCAAAAAGCCTGCTTTACGCTGGATGAGTATTTTATATAAATCTATGTAATGTTAGTAGTTATAGTAGACCCAATAACTTGGTAAATTTCAATGCAAACAAATCACAAGCATGCCTTTTCTCTAGAAAATCCGATCTCACTGTGCCCAACTATAAGCATGTGAGGAGTAACCATACCTTTGAAGACATCCATTTCGATGCTTGGTATTACTATCAGCAATAACCTCTCTTGGAAAAATCACGTGAGATCAATTGCTAGAAGTGCATCCCAAAAACTCGGTTTTCTGTTTCGAGCCAGGAGCTATTTCACTTCCGGTCAGCTGATCTATAAGGAATACTGTTCCCATATTTGGAGTGCAGCACCCAAACATACCCTAAAGCTGCTGGATTCTGTCCAAAAAAGGGCAATTCGTCTCGTGGCTGATGCCTCGCTCACAAACTCACTCACTCTTCTGGAACACCGTAGAAAAGTTGGCGATCTGACTCTATTTTATAGATATTTTCATTGACGATGCTCTTCTGAAATATCAACAATTGTTCCTTCCTTGGCAGTCCCCGCGAGATTTACCGTCAAGTTGTTCATCCAACGAACAGCGAGGCTCTGGAACACATTGCCAAGGGAGGTGTTTCCCGAGGCATATAACCTCCAGAAATTCAAGAAGAACACCAATTCCTACCCCATCTCCCTTGGTTCTCACGATGTTCTCTGTTCTCAGGACATAAAAAAACGTGATGTATATATTGTATATTTAATTGCGATGCTGTCGCATTGTTTGTTTGTTTTATTTTTCCCTTTCTTGACGTATTTTACTGTTTCATGTTATACATTCAACAGATAGTGAAAATTATTATTATTATTATAATTATTATTATTATTATTTTATTTTCTTATCTGTTTGACTATCTTTAAATGCGTGTTTCTTTATAGTTTTTTAAACTACTATTTATTTCATTCATACTTACGCTATATTCTCCCTTCATCACAATCATTCTTATTGCTCTGATAATGATAATAAATGAGATTTTGTTGCAGGCAGAGAGCTATCAGCAAATCAATCTGACAACGCACGAGCTGACGAAGAGCGATCCACGGCTACCTTGATGGCGATCGCTTGATTGGTGTTATTAGGATGTTATCAAAATGCCGGTGTTGAGAAGAAGGGCGCGGACAGACAATAAAGTCATCAACGGGCTGTTCGTCCATTCCAGTCCCCCCAGGGGTTCGTATACACTTACTAAAGATCAGCATTTTGATAGGAAACGATCGTACTGATAGTACGACGGTTCTTAGCATAATATATATTGATATAAACTACGCAACACTAATTTCGTCGCACCCCAAAATGTTGCCTCTATTGAAATATGAATAACTTTTTTCTGCTTTGAACGATTTGAATATGGATCACACTGTTCGCTAGCCCAGTCCTTCAGCTATAATCTCGTAATTCTTTCATCACATAAAATCGCTACAGGGTGTTACCTGAAACTGTGCAAAATTTCGGACTTTTCAAAAGTATCCCAAACGAAGAAAATAGTTATTTATTATACAAGGGAAAAAAGTAGTAGATTTTAGCTGTCTCCCGACGCGTAGCGGAGGGAGACAAAAAACCGTGAGCTGAAATCTAATATTTTTCCCATGTACAATGCACTATTTTTTACTATGACAGAAGAAATGACGAATCAATATTGAGAAGATATTACATTATTTTGAAATCTTAAAATTATCGACGTGAAAATTTGAGTTTTTAACAGTGGGGACACCTATATGTTGTAGGCATCTTTATCATTCTTTTGAAGTAATCAAATGTCTGATGTCACTTCTGTCAGTCTAATTCTGTGATTTGATTTCAAAAAATTGCGAATTTAGTGGTTGTTCAGTAATACTTATACGTAACCGCGAAGTCGAATGGATGATGGTTCATTCAATTAAATATTTGGTTAATACAATGAATTATTTTGTTGATTCGATGAAATATTCCGTTGATTCAAGAAAAGCTGTATTTCCATTAGACAAATTGTTTGTTGAACCAAATTGACTATTAATTCGGGAGTTTTGTGGAATTTTACATCAATATAATGAACTAAATTAGAAAACTAATCGACTTTGAGCATAGATCTCCAGTCTTTACTTCTCTTCAGCTGATGCAAAACTATTTCGGATTGCTAATCATCCTAAGTTCGATTTATCCAGCTGATATTCCAAACACAAAGAATCTGGCTCACGTATATAATGAATTCGAGGCGGGCATAGACGAATGAACAAAATATTTCATTGGTATTACATATTTCGTTGCTCTATTCAAGCAAATGATCCATTCGAAACGAGTTCATTGCTACATCGGAATAAGAAAACTTGTAAGTTGTTTCGGAGATATATTCTAATCAAAATGATCATTATTTCATCGAATCAACAACATTTTTATAGTCGAATCAACATTGTCATTATTTTGGTTCGATATAATTTGTTTTTGCGAAAACCATATATTTTGTTGATGGAATTGATATTATACTGTTGATGCAATTAGACTACATTCTTGATTTGAACAAGCTACTTCCATGAAATAATCATGTATCTGGTTGATTCAACAAAAAATTGCTCAGTCCGACAAAAATAATTCAATAGCATAACGAATTTGTTGATGCAACAATAGTATATTATGTAACAAGTGTTATAAACGTTCTTTTAGTAACGAGTAGTTTAAGCACGAGCGGAGCAGAGCGGAGCGATTGTTTAATAAACGAGTGTCTAGAAGAGTTTATAAACACGTTACATACTATGATTTTTCTACGAACTCCGAAAATTACATTAACATACCTGCAATTCCTGCTAACCTACAAAATAATTCGAAAGGAATGGAAATTGAGAACATAATACATGCAACTGCATGCAACCAGCGAGACACGTATAAGTGATATTGGTTGTAGATGTGTCCAGTCCATTGTAAGAAATCGTGTTGCCATGGTAACGTGTTTAATATTTTGAATAAATCACAGATCGACAATCCGTGATTAATCGATCATTTAGCGTGGTACATATCCGTACGCTAAATGCCATTTTAGTTAAGTATGTGAGTAGAAAAATCCTTTTTTTTTCCGTGTAGAACAATTTGCTTCTTTGAAATGATCAAGTATCTGTTCAATCCAACAAAAGTTATTTAAACTCACTCCATTTGTTGATGCAACAGATCCTTTTTTCCGTGTAAGTCCTTTATTTTTCATTTCATCGTCGCGAACATGAAAGTATAATTTCGAATTTCAAGACATGAGCATATAGAGGACGTTCTCATCAAGTTATTAGGTTATCGCGTGACTGGAGGCGGCTGTGTTACAAGAGAAAACAATTGAAAGGCGGAGGGGCCTCGATCGTGAAAGACGTTAACTGTCACCCTGCCACCCTGTTTATTCAAGTGCCCTTTGTTGGGCGATATTTCCGCTAATTGATGATGTCCGAGGCTGATATTTTGTCATTGCGCGCCAAGGACGTATTTGTATTTGTAATTGTAATTAGTTTTTAGATATGTGGATATACATACAGGTTGCTCCCAAATGTCATATATAAAGGGTGATTGTTTATATTTTAGTCAATAGCTATCTCAGTTAATATTGGTTTTAGAATCTTTCAAATGAGTGAGGGTTGCTGGGCTGTGTGCACGTGAATATATACCAAAGAAGGGGAGATTTGTATTTCGTGCAAAATAATTTATTCAATATTTGTATAGCAGAGCGCTTTCGACTGTTAAGTCATCATCAGTGCAAATGGGCAAAAATGAAATATTGTTCATGATTATTCAGAATCTAGTACTAGAGAATGCAGAATGCATTGTATACCTAAAAATTTTACATAAACTGGTATATTCCGAATGGAACATCCAGTATTCATTTTCCTGAACGGTAGAGATCTTTCTTCCGATCTTATATACCGGGTGTCCTAGTATACCTGTTCCAATGAATCATCTCAGCCATTTCGAAACATAATAATTCGAAAAAAAGGAAAACGAAAACTGAAAGTCACTTCTGGTTTGACTGGAAGTGACTCTAACTTTTTTATTTCAAATAGTACCCTGTATATTGTTTGCAACGATGTATCACACTTCGTATTTTAAATTTGATTTGATGGAGGAAACCACAATTGAAATTTCAAATTGAACGAATTGCAGTAGGCTACGATATTTTTGTAATCTTGATTTTGACTTCAAGAATAATTTCAAATTATTAGAGTTGTAGTGGATCATGTAATTTTCAAAATGACTGAGATAATCTATTGAAACAGGTATACTGGGACACCCGGTATATACTTCAATAATGTTATCTTTGTCAGTTTTCGAAAAATATGGATTCTAAGGTAGCTGTAGGACGCCAACACGAGTTCTACATCGACCTCACATCTACCTACACGAAAATCTACATCTAGGATTATATTGAAGTACCTGTAGTTCTGAAATTAATCGTTTTAGACCAAAAGTGTGATAGTTTGTTAAAATCGTAACATTGGGGGGAACATGAAAATGCCTAAATATAAAGGTTGTCTCATTAATGATTTTGAATCTGATGTCATGTGATCGAAAACAGAAAGCTCTTTGGGCAACATAATATCGAAAAAAGCTGCACGCAATTGCTTCAATTACAATTTTCTACTACTCGGGACACTGCCCAGTAAACCATAACACACGAGATACAGCTTCAGTAAGTAGCTCTTTACGCACAGTAAAAGCACATCGCACAGTTTTCGTTTATTCCGCCAGTATGAGGTATGTCATGATCGCGTAATCGCCGTCAACAGCGGATGACATAACTGTCAAGACTAATTCAGACTGTTTGTCCAAACTTTTTTGATGTACTATATGGCAGTAGGTAAAGTATAGTACGTAATGCGTGTTGTGAAGCAATTACGCACTCATGGAATTACGTTTCTGAAACGTTTTTGAAACTAACTCTGTGAAATATGAAACATTTGACCTATATACTCTGAAACATTCATGAGACATTCTATAATATTACATTGAGATGTTTCAATTGTATAGTCTTTGCCGAGATCTCTGATATGCTCTTATCATGCCCGAGGCTATGCAGGAACGTCTCAAACTCATTTAATTCGCGTAATAACTAAAGCGTAATAGAGGAAATGTCTTAGGAACATTTCATTACTTCACTACTTGAAATATTTCACTAATGCACATAATAACAAACACTCATCTTTGGAATATAGAAATACTAACTCGTATTTCATATAGATGACTGTTTGTTTTGTCATCAGTGAACCCCAATTGACTTGACATTGCAGTTTACCAAAGTACAGTCCTGTATATGATTCTGGTATACGTGCCCATACACAAAAGTGCTGTGAATCGATTGATGTAGTAAGGTGATGAGAAAATAAAATTCTACTGTAAATAATAATAATAAAATTATGTTAATTAAACCCACTTACTTTTTCATATTGTATTTTGTAGTTTAGTCATCATTAAAATGACGTTTTATTATCCCCAAGAGAAGCTTTGTCGCTTTGTATGACTTCCTCTTCTTCCTTTTCTTCCGTCATTCTTTAACACACTCGATAGTTTTGTGACATCAGTAAACATTTCTTAAATGTCATATTTTGGTGAATGAACCAGTCTTCGAGTAAGGATGAGGGCGCTTTCGCCAAAAAATAAAAATTGACACCAATTAAATACCAGAGTAGCTGTGTGCACCTGTAGATATATAAATAATTGTACAAAATATTGTATTTAGTGTATAATAACTTATTCAATTTTTCATAGCAGTGCGCTTTCGAATATACAGTCATCATCAGTGCAAACCTGTGAAATCAGCTTCGAGCTTTTGAAAGAAAAAATAAGAGAAATAGTAAAGACTGGTCAATTATCCATAATATAGTTGTTTCTGTACTAAGGACGAACAACTGTCTATTATAGTCGAGTCTGCAAATTGAGAGCCGAGGCCTTAGCCGAGGCTAGCAATCAGGCGAGACAATGGACAGTTCTTCACCGAGGTGCATATTACATTTTTTTATCTACCTCAAACACATATATGCAGAAAAATTATTTATTCTGCAACCGACACAAAAGTCGTCCATTTTGATACCAAAATTAGCTCTTAAATTGACGTTTCTATTACTGACACAAAAATAGGTATGTTGCTAGGTAACATATTTAGTTCCTAAGAGCTAAAGTTGAATGTTAGTTCCTAAACTAAAAAACAACATTGTGACGGTTGATCATTTGGGTTGAGACGCATACCTGATTTGTTTCCGATTTCAGCAGATTTGGCATTTCATACCCATGCTGGAGATGTATTTATATCTTTTACCTCATTATAGTTTAGTATCGAAATTATAAACATCTCAGTTAAGTATTTTTGTTTTGATCAGGGAAGCCTTCAAGATTCAAATACTTGCTTGATCTGTATTTCATTCGTTATTCTCGGGATGGATAACTTGATTTTGAATAATCACGGCAAGCAATAGTTTTTTTGTCTCAAACAACGATATTGTTTAGCTTCATTTGATTATCAAGTCAAACACAGTGTAGTATGGAGAGGAATAAATAATCACTATTATCATTGTTGTTATGCTCACTAACCTAACATTTTCCACGTCTTGTTCCTATAGCTGGCACTGGCGCGGTATTTGCCATTAGAGCACCTGGTCCATACACAAATATATCACTCTGTGGTTGTATTTATATTGAAACTACAATTCGAACATCCTAGAAAACCTAACCTGCTGTTAATGCAGGTAGAATATTCTCACCAAATGGATTATTTGTCAATATTTGTTGCATTGCATACATATGGCACGGCATTGGTGGTTACTTCACATGTCGATTTGAGTTAATTGTTTCGGTTGTAGAAAAAATAGCATGTTTCATTCGGATCAAAAGTGACTTTGTTCGACTCGCAAATTTTGCTTTCGCTCGGCTTCGCTAAACGCTCCGCCTCGCAAATGCAAAATTCGCTTGTCAAACAAAGTGTCACTTTTGATCCTGATAAAACAATCTACTATTGCACGAAATAGGTACATTTTGCACAAATATATGTACTCCAAAGACGAGCACCATCTACACCCTAGTATTTTTATTTTTGTTGATCGATTTCGAATTTTGGTTCGTTCATTCTCTCATTACAATATTACACGTTCTATGATCGATCAAAAGTGCAAAAAATCAGTAAGCGATATCAGGAATTTTTTTATCAAGAAACTGATCTCATCAGAATGTAGAGAAACTGCAGGGTCATCCACGATAGATGGCCTATTAGAAGTATCTGGAGAACGAAAAGACAGAACATTCCGAAAATTGAGATGCTTCTATAATTGAACATCCTCTATCCGTCTAAAATATATCCATCGATACAGTGTTGCCACTTCTATCACAAACAACTAGCAATTTCGTTATTTTAAATGGAGCACCCAGTATTTCATTGCGTTTTTAGATTCTTCCTGGAGAGCAGATCTCATCAATGCATCGCACTTGGGGTCTAGCAGGAATGATTACAGAGATATAGTGTGTTCAAAATCGAGATTTTTCAATTTCATGATTTTTTTTGTGTTGATCATTATCGATCGAAACGGTTTACATGTCCCTATCCTAACTTTCGGTTCACTACCTACTGACATTTCATTGGAACAAATACAGGGTGATCACAATTCTGAATCTTGAAGCACCCTGTATGTTCTCTCCAATTAAATTCCCGTAGATAGTGAATCAAAAGTTGAGATAGGGATTTGTGAGCCGTTTTGATCGGTTATATTCTGGTTCTCAAGAAGAGGGATATCCTGTAATTTTCAGAGAACATGGTGAGAACCAAGGGAAATAAGGTAGGAATTGGTGTTCTTCTCAAATTCTGGAGGTTATATGCCTCGGGGAATACCTCCCTTGGCAATGTGTTCCAGAACCTCGCTGTTCGTTCGATGAACCAGTCTTTGGCAAGAGATGCGAAGCTTCAAACCGACAGGTTAATCTCCCGGGGACTGCCAAGGAAGGAACAATTATTGTTGATATTTCAGAGGAGATAAAATGGAGCCAGATCGCCAACTTTTCTACGGTGTTCCAGAGAAGTGAGTGAGTTTGTGAGGAGGCATCACCCACGAGACAAATTGCCCTTTTTTAGACATAATCCAACAGTTTCGACCCAAAAAAAAACCTAAAATTGAAAAATCTCGATTTTGAACACCCTATATTTCTGTAATTATTCCTGCTAGAGCCCAAATGTGATACATCGATGAAATCAGCTCTTCAGGAAGAATCCCAATTTTCAAAATGTTCTGTCTTTTCGTTGCTTCTAATAGGCCATCCACCATGGATCACCCTGTATAGAAGGCATTTCTCATTAGGAATTATTCATTTTCCGTGCAAGACATGATTTGATAGTTATTTATGTATCTCGCGTGAAGTAGGCTTTTATGGACCGCAGCTTGTAAGTAACACACTTCTAGGTCCATAAAGTTACAACCGAAATACATACAAAATTTTATGAACGACCGGTATATTTGATTTTTCATTGTGAATTTGTCATACATAAAAAAATACAAAAACAAATCGTTTTTTCTTTCTTCTAGTTCTGCAGCTGAATTCGGCATCCATCAAGCAGCTGATACGAAGCGGAGATGTGGAAAAAATCGAGCAGGCCGTGTATGACGGTCAAGGAAAAAAGCTTGTGGGGGAGTACTCGGCAGATTACAAGACCAGAACTTTCTTGAAATCGATACCTGCTCTAATGGTAAATTTCTGCAATTGACATTGAGAGTTTTCATTTCCGGATTATTATTCGTGTGTGCGATTTACAATAAACACATAATATATAATTATTGCACACACAATAATATGCACGCAGCTCTGAAGTTGTCGTGTTGAATATAGCTTTCCGTGAAAGTGCAGGTGAAAACGATTGTATTGGAAATTATCAGACAATCATTTGGTCATGTGAATTGGAATAAATAAAAAACGCCACAACCCAGGCAGCACAAACACAAAGAATGTGATTCTGAGAACGTTCTCAGAATATTCCAGTGGAAAATTCTGAGAATATTCTAAGAACATGCGAATGGGACGAAAATTCTTCACGTTCCAAGAACATTTTCATGATATTTTTCAGAACATTTCCAGAACATTGTATGAATATATCGTCGCCTCAGAGCAATAGTAGGACATAAAAAAAATAGGACTTTCGGGATTATTGAGGTTTTAGCATTATAAACTATCGGCACCAAGTGGAACACTAAAGCAAACCTTATGACGTCATTTTTTTTTATCGCTTGGAGAAGAAGAGCATCGTGCGTTCCTAGGGAGGATAGGGATAGGAGGTAGGTATTATAAGTTAATATAACAGTAGGTTACTCATTATTTTTTGTGATAGGTTCATTTCCCCAATGTATTTGAATTGAATCAATGAAGAGTGTTTAACTAGATGAAATCCTTGCCAAAATGCTGATTATTCAGGATAAACAGTTAAGTTAACTGTTCGAAAAATCAAAATTCTTTTTGAAATCCTACAAAATCTCGTACACTTCAATAGCAACAGTAGGACAAGTCGATATTATTTTTCTTGATTTTGAATTAACACCATTTGGCTTATACTTGGAAGTTCAGAAAGTGTCCAAAACACTGTGATGCGTTGACTAGAGCCCGAAATATTTGAGATTGTAGTAATCATGATTGTTTTCTTTGGAGATGATACTGATCAGACTTCAAGAGTGCTGGACCTTAGACGCTATCACAATAAGACAGTTTGGACGTTATCAATGCTTCGCATAAAGAGCTAGCTAGTTTTCTCTAAAACAGGTCTCTCCATGTAGTGGTCGACGAAGTTTCATCTGACTCTCTTATCATAAATGCTGGTGTTTCGCAAGGATCAATTCTAGCACCAACACTATTTCTACTTCATATCAACGATTTGTTGGCAGCAACTTCATGTCCAGTACACAGCTTCGCGGATGATAGTATCCTCCATACCGCCTTCTCTTCCAAGGCTCCAATACCAGCCAGGCAAATAGAAACGAACGAGGGAGAAATGTTGACAACATAAATATGGACTTGGCAACAATTCTCGAATGGGGATCCCATAACTTGGTAGATTTCAATGCAAACAAAACACAAGCATGCCTTTTCTCTAGAAAAGCCGATCTCACTGTGCCCAACATAAGCTTGTCAGGAGTAACCATATCTTTGAAGACATCCATTTCGATGCTTGGTATTACTATCAGCAATAACATTTCTTGGGAAAATCACGTGAGATCAATTGCTGAAAGTGCATACCAAAAACTTGGTTTTCTGTTTCCGGAAAGGAGCTATTTCACTTCCAATCAGCTGCTTATGATCTATAAGGCACAGATCCGACCTGTCCTGGAACACCGTGAAAAAGTTGGCGATCTGGCTCTATTTTATAGATATATTCATGGACGATGCTCTTCTGGAATATCAACAATTGTTCCTCCCTTGGCAGTCCCCGCGAGATTAACCCGTCGAGTAGTGGTGCCCGCGAGAGTCTCGTTTTCGAGACAAGACTCGAGACGAGACTCGGACAAGTCGAGACGAGACTTTTATTGGTCTCGTCTCGAGTCTCGTGCAAGACTTCTCGCGTCTCGTGCGAGAGTGTCGCAAGTAAATATTTCTGCGCGTCGACTGCAGACTTGAGAATTTCATTCATAATACAACATATTCAGAAAGAATTCAGACTATTTACCACAGATAGAAAAAAACATTCCATTTATAAATACTTTAAAATCACAATCCATAATTGTTGTAAAACAACGTAGTGCGTGAAACCAAAACGGACTATTCTCTCTCTTACGGCGACGGAATATAAAGGCAATTCTGCAACGACAGATCACAAATTGAATGACTACCTGAAAATCTATAAATAAGTCATTCTGTGCTAAATAGTCTAAGATAAAGAATAATTTTATGTCTTATAACGACTGGGTGAGAAACAAAAACATTAAATTTGCGATCGTGAAGGCTGATCTTACCTTGGGGACCTGAAGAACATCTCTTTCCAAAGACTCGTTCATCCAACGAACAGCGAGGCTCTGGAACACATTGCCAAGGTAGGTGTTCCCCGAGACATATAACCTCCAGACATTTAAGAAGAACACCAATTCCTACCTTATTCCCCTTGGTTCTCACGATGTTTCCTGAACCTCACAGGATATTCCTTTTCGTGGGAACCAGAACATATTAAAAAAAAATGTTGAAAGATTCCTGGCAAAGATGACTCACATGTTTGGTGAATCGCAGCTTTGATGTGGCAATTCCAGAAAAATAATGTTCTTGGCCCTTCTACGCCTTCGTATTGAAGAGAGGGAATTTGACGTGAAAGTAACTATAGAAAAGTGGAAGGTTTCCGACTTTTTGGCGGTGTTCCAAAATGTTAAGAAACTTGTGAGTTTTTGGCGTGTTTGTCAGTCACCCTATATTCATCTTCATTCTCAATTGTATAATAATATAATTATCAGGAAATCATTCCAGGTATTTCATTCATATGCCCGAAGAACAAAGAGTCAGAATTCAAAAAATCATCAATGACTCCGTATAGAAGTAGATATTGACTTCGTCAATATTCGATATATTTTATATTTCATTCATTGACGTGTTTTGTTTCACAGTAAATAAATTATTATCTTGAAATGTAGGTTCACATGAACAATTCATTTGTTACAAGTGTTCTGAAAATCAATAAAATGGGTATGACCGTTTAATAGAATATTTTCTATCTACCTATACGCAGTATATATTTCAACATGATAGTATTCCACGAATACGAAATAGACTGTAAATATGAGCGTAGTATATATGAATTATTTGTGTTTTCATATAGGTCACCTCGTCCTCTATACAGGATGATCACTTTAAATTCCTCACAGATAATAATAATATTCCCTTATTTATGGACTATATGAACTCAAATATTATTACCACTCCTCTATAACTCCAGGCACGTAGGTATGTTTTTTTTCTAGGGGGGTACTCAGTAGCGGAAATTAAATTATAATTTGAGGGTTGCCTAGTATAAATGGTGGTTTATTAGCTTCAACTTTTATTAAAGCTGTTTTTATATTTTAGAATATTCAGAATAACCAAAATATTAATTATCTGTCATTCAAATGAACAGATCAAGATAAATGTTCTCGATGAAAACATATTTTATATGCGTATTATATGAACTAGATAAAAAAAAAGAAATAATCTCTCAATTTCACCATTATATATTATAAAGTAGGTAACTTATCATTCAAAATTCTTGATTAGATCTAATTAACAAAATATCAGGTACCCCTGAAATTAGATTATGAAACAAAGTCTTTTACATTGCTTTGAAAACCTCGAGGAAAAACCTATCGATAACAGCATCTATATCTATTTCAATATATCTATGAATATTTGATATAAAGTTAATCCGACTAGCCTGACCCATTGTACACCTCAACCATGATTTCAGTGACTTACTTAAGTGTATAGAAAATGATCTTTCAGCACTCGCCACACTCACCGGCATAGATTTTTTCTACTCACATAACTAAAATGGCATTTAGCGTACGGATATGTACCACGCTAAATTGTTCTAAAATTGTTCGATCGATCACGGATTGTCGATCTGTGATTTATTCAAAATATTAAACACGTTACCATGGCCACACGATTTCTTAAACACATTACCATGGCAACGCAGTTCAGCAAACACAGCTTCAGTAATTTGAGACATGTCTGGCCTGTCAATTGTATTAACTGTCAACTGTTATTTTCGAATTTTGTATCAGAATTATTCAAACACTATTCTTCATTAAAAATATATGCGAAAAGTAGACGAGAGTGAAATCGAAGAGAATGTTCTGGTACTTGTACCTATATCTCCAAGAAGTGTAAAAATGAAGCATCCATCTTTGAGAACAATTCATTTATTCTGCGCTAAGCATGACAATAAACGTGAAACAAAGTTTATTAAGTGATGGACTGGACACATCTACAACCAATATCACTTAATACGTGTCTCGCTGGTTGCATGCAGTTGCATGTATTATGTTCTCAACCCCCATTCCTTTCGAATTATTTTGTAGGTTAGCAGGAATTGCAGGTATGTTAATGTAATTTTCGGAGTTCGTAGAAAAATCATAGTATGTAACGCGTTTATAAACTCTTCTAGACACTCGTTTATTAAACACTCGCTCCGCTCTGCTCCGCTCGTGCTTAAACTACTCGTTACTAAAAGGACGTTTATAACACTTGTTACATAATATACTATTATCTGCAGAAGTGTATAAATAGTGGGAGACATTTGGATACTGCAATGCTGTAAAGTATCTGAGGCTGTTTCTTTGGGTAAATTATTATAGGTTTATTTTTTGTTTCTTCTCATTCATTTTTCCAAAGATCTATTTCTGATTGCAACAAATCTGACTGAAATGTTTGGGAGAGAATTCATTTCTAAATTTACTAACATATTCAGAAACTTGTTTTACTAGAATCTTTGAATCACTGGTGTAGAACATAATCAGGCATCAACCTGTTGATATATAACATTTTTAATTCATTACTAATCATTGTTTCTAAGTCTTTAACTGTTTCACTATTTTTGTGCTTTCACCAGTACCCCCCCTTATCTACGCTGGTGTATAACTTCCCGTGTGAATCTTTCTTCCAAAGATTTTTTTGCAAAAATGTTTTTTTTCTCCGATTGGCAGCAAATATTAATTTTGCTGACACATATCAATCAGCAAAGTATTACTTTTCCTGCCTAGGCAGCAAAGTGGTTACTTTGCTGATTGATATGTATCAGCAAAATTAATAATCCATAAATCGTTTATAATTTTCTTCATATTCCATTCGAGACTTCTCCGGCAACAAATTCAACTCTATATTTGCCACCTCCCTTATTTCTGGAGGTCGCTATCACTGTTTATCATATAATAATTTGAATATACTGATATTTTTTCGCACAACTGTCAGAATTTTCATGAATTGTCAAACTATAATTATCATGGACAACTGCGATTTCTATCAAATTTAATTTTAATCGAACACTAAAAAAAAATAAAGAGATTGTGGGAATTGTAATAATTCGCAATTACAATATCCTCCTATATCATTATGAACAATCGGAGAAAAAATTATATGTTCAACTCGGCAGTCAATCTACTACTTTGCTGCCTAGTTAAACAAATAACTATTCTGTGACGGGAAAAAAGTTCAACATTCCATTTCTGTTGACAGATTATAAAGTGGACAAAGCCCTCATAAGGAGTTCACCGTAGACACGTGTTTTGGGCTTTTGGCTCTTATCAATACTATGAAAAAAGTGCGATATATAGATAGGCATTGCTTGGTGGTAGACGAAATAACGGAAATGTGTCTACGGTTAACTGTTGATGAGGGCTTCGTCCACTATTTTCTTCTCTTTCTATACAAGGTTTTCCTTAATGATATGCTAATATTCAAGGGGCCGATTCTTCGACCCATTTCAAGAATAAAACTTCATATGAACATATGTCTTAAAAGTTCTAACTTTTGAGATACAGGGTGTCAATGTTGAAAATATGCATAGAATATTTTTTTGTCCACCTTCTATAGCTTTTCGTGATGGCAAAATTCAGTCTGCTATGTGACTGAATCGGTATACAAATTTCAAAATGTTACATACGGTGGTTATCCAGTAATGGATGTCCTGAATGGAGTACTCAAACATCAAAATTTGAGGTATGGTCTCGTATTTCCGATTTTTCTCGAAAACGAAGCGTTCTATCGATTATCAACATGAGGATCTTTTTTGTACATAATTAAATAGCCTTTCATAGCATTGTATGAAATTTGAAAATTTTTCATCGTTGCTCACTTTTAAGTTAAATATAAACAATAATTTTCCCGTAACGGTGTCTCTGGTAGAGAAAATGCAAATTTTTGTACATCAGAAAATGCACCTTGATGCATAAAAGACATGTACCAAACATCAAAAAGATGTATACAATATTGTCTTAACTATCAACAAAAAACTGAATATTTTTCAAAACTTCATCACCCTGTATCTCGAAAGATAAGACTTTTAGGACATACGTTCATAAGAAGTTTTCTTCTTGAAATGAGTCATAGAATCACCTTCTCAAATATTAGCATGTCTTCAAGGAACACCCTGTATATACAGTTCATGGCTTCTGTTGTGCAGGTTCCGAAATATGAGTGAGTAAGTTTATTGATAAACTCTAGCAGACCTCGCGAACGTTGTTTTCCAATACTCATCATTTCTATAATATATTTTTTCAGATCAATATATCCATCAAGACACTATTTTTATTTTATTTTCCACTTCTTTTTAGTTTCGCTATCAATAAATGCGTGTTTCTTCAGTTTTTCAAACTAACATTTATTTCAACATCATTTTAGTTCACTTGAATTTTGCAATTCTGACGAAAGAATCATATAATATCCGACTCCAAAAACCCCAGATGAAAATTTTGAACAGAATCGGATGATAATTACAAAACTCGTTTGGTATATTGGTTCCAACGTCTTGAATTTCCAAATCTCGCCCTTTCCAAAGTTTGACAAAAGAAGCATAATCTCCGACCCCGAAAACACCCAGATAACAATTTTGAAGAGAGTCGCATCGTAATTACAATACTCGTCCGCCATATTATTGGGTCCGTCATCTTGAATTTCCTAATTTTGACGAAAGAACCATAATCTCCGACCCCGAGAACCACCAGATACCAAATTTGAATAAAAATTGGATCCTAATTACAAAATTCGACATTTTGGATCCGCCATCTTGAATTTATTAATTTTGGCGAAGGAATCATAATCCCCGATCACGAAAACCCCTAGCTACCAATTTTGAAAAGAATCGAATTATAATTACAAAACTCGTCCGCCATATTGGTTCTGAGAACTGACAAGACCACGCCCACAAGTCGTGCGCCCAGTTGGCACGTTCACCGAATTTGGCCTACGTAAATCAACCTGTATATTAATATCTTCATGGTGCATAAACAATATGATTGATATTTTACTAGTCCAGTCCAATCAGTTCAACTTTCATTATGTATTTCGGTTAATTCTAATATAGTCAATAATTCAATAATTTTCCGATCCAAATATGCGTTGTTGGTTTCAATGAAATAAGAAAAAAACTTGTGTGCGTAGGACCACACGTCGAAAGTGATAACTTCTATGGACGGTCAGAATTTCCACTATTATTCGCGAAAAGTATGAACTAGAACTGAAAATATTGATCGAAACATTTCAAGACTTTGAAATTTCAAAGTGCACCTTGTCAAAAGTATTCATTATTAACCCTGTTTATTATGAATTAGCTGTATCCTGCCCGCGTTGCTACGCTACTTATTAAAATACCTATGAAAGAAAGACGACAGTACACAGTCATCATAATCTCCAAACCCGAAAATCTTCAGATACCAATTTTGAAAAGAATCGGATCATAATTTCAGAACTCATTTGCCATATTGGATCCGCCATCTTGAATTTTCCAATTTTGACAATAGAATCATAATATGCGACCCCAAAAACCCAAGGATACCAATTTTGAATATGAACGGATTATAATTACAAAACTAGTCCGTCATATTGGATCCGCCATCTTGAATTTTCAAATTTTGACAAAGGAATCAAAATATCCAACCGCAAAATCCCCGACATACCAATTTTGAATGGAATCAGATCATAATTACAAAACTCGTCCGCCATATTGGATCCGCCGTATTGAATTTCTTAATTTTTTCTCTCATAGGAACCTTCTCCTGACAATAACAAACACGATAACAAAAAAAGATTCAGTGAAATCCGTCAAGCCGTTTAGGATTCTATAAAGGACATAGAGACAAACATTAATTTTTATATATATTTTCAAGAGGGACACTTGAAATTGATATTTTTTGCCCTCTTGGCTCAACCCCCTAGGAAGGGTAAATGGTACCCTTAGAGTCTCAAATGGAAAGAGGGGTCAAGTGGCGTCCAAATTTCTTTCTTACGGTACCCTATAGTTTATCATTTTCTGTTGAGCAGTTTCCGAAAAATGCCTTGTCAGTTAGAAAACTTCCCACCCTTAATATCTTCCCTCCAGTAGATAAAATGAAAAATGCATATTTTTAGCCCGCTTGGTTCAAGCCCCTAGGAGGGGTAGAACCTTATGTGAAAAGGGCGTCAAGATGCACATTATTTCAACTGTTTTAATTGAATTTGATGAGCAGTTTCCGAAAAATGCCGTTCTAAACGTACGGAAGTAATTGGAACATGTGAAATCAAAATTTCACGTGTTTTCATTCAACTATCATAATCACTATATACCCAATTTTCAGAAACAAAATAATTAAGGAGGGTTCAACTTTAATATACACACTTTGTATAGGTACATCGACAATAAATGGTATTTTTTTTCAATATTCCAGTCAAAAATCTCTCTACTGCATGATGCGGTCAACAGCGACAGGTTAGAAGAGCTCCAGACCCTTTTGGATGAGGAACCCGAAAAAAAGAAGAGACTGGTGATGGCCAAGGACGAAACAGGGGCGGGTTTGCTCCATAAAGCCGTCTACTACGACCTGAAAAGCATCTACAGATGGCTGATCGACAAATTTCCTCACATAGTCTCGATGAGGGATTCCGTAAGAATTCAGTCTTCTTATTTTTGATAGCGAGAGAAATACGACAAGTCAACCATTTTTTTCAAATTGCCCAAATTATAACTGGGCAAATACTTAATAAAAAGTATTTGATTATTAAGTATTGAAACTTAAGTGTATTGGAAACATTTGAATTTCCAATTTTCTCGAAGGCCAAGAAATATTTGATCGCATTTATAATAATAAATAAATAAATACTGTCAGCAGGTTAATCGAGGAGGTGGAATATTTATTTCTCTAGAATGCCTATAGGAGTTGTAGTTGAATTTTAACTCCTAGGAACTTAAATGAGGCAGCTCGAAAACGTTTTGTTCGTCAATCAAAATATTACTTCTGATTTCAATAAAACAATGTACTATTGAATTTCAGAAGAGGATCAATAATCGATTTCGTAGCCTCTTGGGAATAGTCCTGCGTTCCAATTGGAAAACAATACAATAATCTTGATGGAGTGGAGAAAAAATTACTCAGATATCAAATTAGGATTTACATGAAGTTGAATTCAGTTGAGAAATATATACAGTGTGTTACAATTTGATCCATCCCACCCCTGTATTACCGTATTCCTAGGGCGATTCAAGAACTGCTTTTTCATAATATACTACTCAGATTCATCTATGTCGAGCAAAAAAATTATCAATCACAATTTCTCAGCCTACTGCGAATACAAATACTCCAGCAAAATCAAAGAAAACGGATTGGGCATTTAAAAAATAATTGATAATGTCAATCGATTCGGACAAGCCAATTATACTCCTATATCGATTTTCAAAACAATATTTCATCAACGTTACAATTCTTGAATTTTGCATTTTTCAACTTTCATTATATAAGAATTTGAATGATACCAGGCACGATGGTAATCAGGATTAGATCATCTGGCTACGAAGTGAGATAAATAACGGATAAAAGCACTAGAAATTCAAATTTTCGATCACGAAATAAAAAGAAGAAGAAAAAACTGAATAATACCAATCAAAAAATTACATCAAAAGAATAGACAAAGAACTAAAACAGCAACCATTCCTAACAAATTCAGATTTTTTAATTCTATCTCTTCGGTTCGTTGTTTTCAACTCTCCTCAGTTCTTCCCCTAATAGCACACAACGTCCTAGGGACGTCCCTATTTGGTACAATTCACGTCCGAATGTCCTGAACCAAAAATAAGTGCCCTTGGGACGTCCCATCCCGTACATCTCATGCAATGTCCGAGCAAGGACGTCCATGGAATGTCCCAGCTGGTACATCATTTCAAATGTCCTAGAAATAGCATCCCTAAGACGTCCCACGTGGTACATATTGTAGAATGTCCATGCACGGACGTCCTCGGCATGTCCCTGATGAGATATGATTTCAAACGTTCCTTTAGGGACATCCATCGGATGTCCCGAGTAGTACATATTCTGGCATGACTTCAGATCTTATATAATGTCCCTTCTAGACAACCATGAAATGTCCCTGATGGTACGTTCCTTCAAATATCTCTGCACCGACGCCCTTAATATTTCCAGGATCGTATAACAATCGAAATGTCCCTTAGAGACATCCTTCGAATGTCCCAATTGGTACATGAACTGTACTCTTCCAATGTCCTAGAAATAACGTCCTATGGACGTCCCAGTCGGTACTTTCAATATGTTGTCCCTGCGAGGACGTCAACTTACACCTCGCCGACGAATGATTGCTCGTAGGCTATAAGTACTCCTCGTCAATGTCCTTCACGTAAGTCCATTGGACATCTTTGGGAAACTTTTTGGGGACCTTCTACGGACCATCAACTCAACTGGATGTCCTAATCAGTTATGCAAGATCTATCTGGTCCTAGAGACCCAGAAAAATTCAAACTCAAGAATAATTCGTATATCCCTGGGACATCCTATGAACATCCAATTCATATCCCTCAGCGTTGCTGATAGGTTGTCCTATGGATGTCCTAAGGATGTCCTCTGTAGTGCTTGATGAGGAATACTGTAGGATTTTGGTATTCGATAGTTGTCCCAGGGACATCCCTCAAGGACGTCCCTGGTTGGTCCTCAAGTGGGACATTTATGCGTCGTCCATTGGACGTCCACGGTACCAAATTCGAACGTCCTATGGACGTCCTGAATGTCCCGACAGGACGCCCTAAGGATATCCATGGGACATGAGTGTGTTATTAGGGATCTGGTTATTATCTGTTATTATTTTCGTTGCAACCATAAAGATTACCGACTCCACTTTGTAGCCATTTGGCCAAATTCTTAAGAGCATTATCATACACGGTGACTTGAAAAATGCTTATATTCAAAAGTTGCAATATTGATAAAAACACCCCCTATGAGATACTGATGATTCAAAAATTGTTGTAGGAGATTTTGTGATCACATTGGGCTAAGAAATTGTGATTGATGTTTTTTTTGCTCGACAAAGTAGATAATTTTGAGTAGTAGTAATTACTGAAACGGACGTTCAGCAATATTGGAATGGTAAAGTTAGATAATGTATCCTTGCAGCAATATCACATGTTGCTGTGACATTTACAAATTTATATTTGCTGCAATATTGCTGAACGTCCGTTTCAGTAATTGCTACAACCTTGCATCAACCTAGCTTCCAAATTTGCTTAGTGATTATGAGAAACAACATCTTAAATTGTCCTAGGAATACGAAAGTACATGGTTGGGGTGGACCAAGTAACACATTGTATGATGATTATATATAATTTTAATTCTTATTCGTAAATTGACCGAAACAACTGGATATTCTGCTGATGAGTGCTGTCAAGTTTTTTTGGAAGTCTCATTCTTGTGCCAAGATTAGAATAAGCGTAAAAGGAAAAGCGAAATTACAATTTCAACACCTTGAACGCGGATATATCGAGCCTTGAATCTGTGCCAAGAATATGATTAATTTCCCGGCTTTCCTCGAATGGAACATAATTTCCATCTATAGAGTCTGATCTTTCATTATTCAACACTGATAACCCATGGAAACATCCGATTTTCACCATCATCATTTACTTTGACATTTGACAAACAGGCAGACCGTTGAAAACAAATGATTGGAAAAATAGTCTATATGCCTCTCTGAGTAGTATATTGGAATAACAATAACTAGGTGTGTATATATACAGGGTGTTTCAGATTCAAATGTACATTCGATACCTGTAGATAGAAGACACTTTGATGGTTCCATATCACCCCCATTGATGTGTCTACCGTCTTTTATAACAGAGGTACAGGACGTTATCTTGATTTTCGCAAAATCAACATCTTGTCGTAGTTTTTGAACCACTTTGTATAATCTATCCCTATAACTTGGTAGAAATATTTCACTTATCGAAAATTAATGGAAATCGAGATCAGAATCCACGTCAGTCATGAGGAAAAACAGAGAACTTCTTTTATTTCAAAAACAACACTCTGTATGGCGAAAGTTTGTAGGTCTGTTTCGATATTTGAAAAGAGCAGGAAAAAACGAATGAAGTGACAGATATTTTATTGTTATTTTCTGATATACTCGGCTCCATTTTGAGTCATTTTTATTGAACTCATAATTCAAAATCCAATTAATATACAAAATAATAACAGTCTTCAAAGTTCAACATCATGAGAGTCAAATTAGCTGAACTATCGTTGAATATGTTAGTTCCACAGAATTACGTCTGTGGTTTTGGAAATTTTCGAGGGCTCATTTTATTCTTCACTAAAATTTTCTTGCACTGCCTAGTTCATCGCATTTAATGAATAAATAGTGAAGAATAAAATGAGCCCTCGAAAATTTCTGAAATCATTGACGAGCTATTCTGTCAAACGAATAAATCTATCAATAGTACACCTAATTTTACTCTAATGAAGTTTAACTTTGAAGACTATTATTTTTTATCCAAATAATAATAAACCATCTGTCGAATTGGATGCGCGTTTATAATAACTCATTAACTTTTTCCCGCTCTTTCCAAATATCAAAACAGATCCACACGATTTTGCCATACAGAGTGATGTTTATGAAATGAAGAAGTTTTCTTTTTTTCCTTAAGACGGACCTGGATTCTGATCTCGATTTTTATTAAGTTTTGATGTGTAATAAGAGTGGAATATGTCTACCAAGTATGAATAGATTATACAACGTGGTTAAAAAACTATGACCAGATGAAGATTTTGCCAAAATCAAGAAATCGTCCTGTATCTCAGTTATAGTGTCCTCTATCTGCAAGTATCGTATGTACATTTAAGTCTGAAACACCCTGTATACACTGTAGAGATAGGTGTTGAATTTTTTCGAAGTTTTGGAGCTAGTTTTGAAAGTTACAAGTCTATCCCGCTGGCTACAAAAAATGAACATTCTGCGATATTGGCACAAAATTACTTAGATGTATTTTGGTTGAATTTTGGTATAATACTTTCACATAGATATTGTTGAAATATTCTAGAGACAATATGGGCCTAAAAAATATCGCTTGGTTATAATCGTCGAATATTGAAACCTGATGATATTGATGCAATATTTCAAAAGCAATGTTCTCGAATCTCACAGTCATTGGCCTCATTGAAAAAGTGATCATTCATCGATATTGAACGATAACACTAAAGCAAATTGTAACTTTTTTCTGAAACCCTTAATTGTATCTACTAGAATAACCAAGTTATCGCCGCTTTTTTGTCACCCTGTATAATAAGGACATTCTTTTCTTGAAATTTACTGAGTGTTAAATTCCTCATGAATTTACCTATGCTAGAATCGACAGAATAATCGAAACAGACTTGAATTATTAAAGTTGTTAATGAGCAAACTTAATCGATATTTCCAGTGGATACATTATATATTTTGACAGTGGGCATACCGGGTAGTGGAAAAAGATATACAGTGTGTCCCACTTACCATGCTCACCATGGGTATCTATTTAACGGTGAGAGATACGAGGTCGGTTAAATGACACCAAATGTGGAGTTAGTCAAGGCCAACTATAATGTGAAAAAATATTTTGATAAAATCTATTCGTTTTTGTTTTATACGCAAAAAACAGATTTTGATCATTTTCATGTCTCCTCCATAACTTCTTTATTTATGAAAATATTCAAATAGGAATTTCACATTCTCTTGGCAGTTTTTCAAAGTGATTTCGAAAAAAATATGAAATTTATACCAACTCTTCTAGAATTTGAGATATCAGCACCAACTTTAGTTTTTGAAATGTGGGACATAGCTCACTATGACTTAGTTACAAATAACGTTTTTTTCTCTTACAGATGATATGTCGCAGTAATAGTTTTGTGTTGATAACAACAGAGGTATCGTCATTTATACAAAAACAAAAAATTATTTGGAAGCCACCATATTGTATTCATGAATTTTAACGAGAAAATCATGATCTCCGACCTCAAAAACCCCCACTTACCAATTTTGAATGGAATCGGACCAAATCTTGTCCGCCATCTTGGAGCAGCCATTTTTTTTAAATTTCAACAAAAATTCCATAATGTATTGTCACCGAAATTATGAACACCTGCCAAATTTCAAGTTAATCGGAGTTATGGAATTTTTGTCGAAATTTAAAAAAATGGCTGCTTCAAGATGGCGGACAAGATTTGGTCTGATTCCATTCAGAATTGGTAAGTGGGGGTTTTTGAGGTCGGAGATCATGATTTTTTTGGTAAAATTCATGAATGCGAGATGACGGCTTCCAAATAATTTTTGTTTTTGTATAAATGACGATAACTCCGTTGTTATCAACACAAAACTATTACCTACTGCGACATATCATCTGTAAGAGAAAAATAAGTTATTTGTAACGAAGTCATAGTGAGCTATGAACTACATTTGAAAAACTAAAGTTGGTGCTGATATCTCGAATTCTAGAAGAGTTGGTACAAATTTCATATTTTTTTCGAAATCACTTTGAAAAACTGCCATGAGAATGTGAAATTCCTATTTGAATATTCTCATAAATAAAGAAGATACGGAGGAGACTTGAAAATGATGAAAATCTGTTTTTTGCGTATAAAACAAAAACGAATAGATTTTATCAAAATATTTTTTCACATTATAGTTGGCCTTGCCAAACTCCATATTTGGTGTCATTTAACCGACCTCGTATCTCTCACGGTTAAAAAGATACCCATGGTGAGCATGGTAAGTGGGACACACTGTATATAATATGATGTACTACCTAGACCAATTCTCAAATATCCATAAGATTCTAGATACCTGAGCTACGAAAATTATTCTTTTTTTCTAGGAAGGAAGAAGTGCGTACCACTACAGCCTGATGTGCAAGGACCCCGCAGCAGTTCAGAAGCTTCTGATCCACGCCGGCGCTGATCCTTCTACCCTGGACAACCATCAGCATTCAGCCAAATATTACTTGGACCACAAAGAAGAACTAGAGCTACCCAGCGTTCCCAAATCTGCTAGGATTAGTTCGAGAAGAAGTACTACAAGTAGAGAAGGTATACATAACCAAAATAACTTCTTTTATTTCTTGGATCGCACGAAAGGGAATTCCTATAATGTTCGAGGAACATCGTGCGTACCTCGGAAGGAAAGGGAGTAGAAGAGGTAGGTATTTTTTACTCTTGGAGGCTATAAGTTCTTGGAAATACGTGCTTTGGCGGCTTTGGCAAAGAATACCAAAGCATTGCCGTTCTATAGAAAAAGCAGTTATGGAAAACTGGAAAAGTGTTGTTCGACATAATTCGAGGTTGACGACGAAAGGCTGTGCTGACTAGGTCTGTCGAGTACGTCTGACTGGTATTGCTAGTGATGTTGGGATAGCAGAGATTTATGAAGAACATTTCCCGTGAAAGTATCTATATAGAAAAGTAAAAAATCGCCGACTATTCTACGGTGTTCCAATGATGTTAAAGATTGAGTTAGTATGGCATCACCCACCAGGCGAATGGCTCGTCTCTGGAGGGAATCTATATAAGAGTATCAGAGTATGTTTGGGTGTTGAACATCATATACAGAGTGTTTCCGAAATTGGGTTAATAAATGAAATGAAAAAATATTTCTTGAGCTTACGAGAATTTTCAAAATATTGATCATTTGACTCACCATAGTTTGGGAAGCACTGGTTTGGTTCCCTTATACAAAGAGCTCTCTCGCACTACTCCCGCACTGTTGCCAGTTTATGTTTTTATCCTTTCATCCATTGTTTCTTGAAATGCACCGATTTTAGTTCACAACACTGGCGTACTAATGATTCGCAGGTCCGCTGAAAACTACCTTGTTGTCGCATTACTTGAACCGCATTGTTTATTTTTCCTCTTGAAATCTCTTGGTTCTCAATATCCCGAGACGGTGGCACATAAACCAAATTCTTCGAAAAACCTCACACAAAAAAGTCGATCACATTCAGTTCCGGAGAGCGTGGTGGCCACCGACCAATCCATTTTTGTGGAAATTCTCCGTTCAAAAATTCCCGAGCTATTGCACAGTAATGCCTAGGAGCTCCATCATGCATGAAAAACATTCTTTGTCTGAATCTTGAAAATTTTAAATAGGAAAGTCCATTCAGTCCTGGCGGCAACTCATGAAGTCCAATTAAAACTCCGTTCACCACTCCACTCCATAGATTTATCGAAAAGCGATGTTGAATATTAGTTTGCTTGGTGGTGATGATTATGATGGTTGAAAATACCATTTTGGGTAAATGTTGTCACATCAGTGAGAAGAATTTCAATCAGGAAATTTGGATTGACTTTATGTTGACCTAGTATCCATCAACGGAATTGTATCTTTCGTGGATAATCTTCTGGCTGCAACGACTGTTTATGTCAATATATGTGATAACAATATTCTTAAACAATACGTATCTGTGCTTTGTAGGACATGAGAAGCTGTTGAGGTGTAAAGTAACTTCTCGCATGGAATATGAATCCCAGTTTTTGTGAAGCAGCTCTCGCGATGGATCTGACATGATTTTCCCCCGAAAGAGTTTTACTCATGGAAATACAGAGCATAGATATAGTGGACTTTGGAAAAATGATGGTACCATACATTAATATTGTCACGGATGGGACCACTCAGTATGTGAACACTTCAGATTGATGTCCTTCAAAATATTTCCCAATACTGAGTTCCACCTTTCTAGAGAAAATATACTTGCTACAGTTTAAGTGGCGTTGGATTCTACTAATTTGTTGGTTCCCCCGACTGTAACTTCAGCAAAGTTCTTCATTGACAACGTTGACCTGCTTTTTTCTTCAGTTCTTTGTTTCCTGGGAAGATGATGAATTCTGGAAGAGAACGACAGGCTGTGGATGGGGCAGGTCCCAACAGATCATTGATATGGAATAGAAACAATGTTGGTGCCAAAATAGATCCTTGTGGGACGTCGGAATTGATGGCTATGGTATCAGACGATACTCCGTCCAGCACCACATTTTTTTTATCGCTTGGAGCGCACGAAAGGGAATCCCTATAATGTTCAAAGAACATCGCGCGTTCCTAGGGAGGATAGGGACAGGAGGTAGGTATTGGAATTTTTGTTGAACTTTTTGAGATTATATGTTGTTGGGAATACTTCCACAGGCAATGAATTCCAGAGCCTAGCCCTTCTATGGATGAAGGAGTCTTGATAAAGTGCTGTTCCACATCTTTCGAGGTTGACAAAGAAAGGATGTGTTGACTGGACTTGTCTAGTTCGTCTGACTGGTATTGCTAGTGGAGGGATGATAGCAGAGATTTCCGAAGAACATTTCCCGTGAAAGTATCGATAGAAAAGTGAAAGGTCGCCGACCTTTCTACGGTGTTCCAATGATGTCAAAGAGTGAGTGAGTGTGGCGTCACCCACCAGGCGAATGGCTCTTCTATGGATGGAATCTAAGAGCATCAGCGTATGTTTTGGTGCTGAACCCCATATGTGGGAACAGTATTCTAGAACAGGCCGTATCTGCGCTTTGTAGATCACGAGAGGTGTAAAGTAGCTTTTCGCACGGAACAAGAATCCGAATTTTTGTGAAGCAGCTTTTGCGATGGATCTGACATGGTTATCCCATGAAAGAGTGTTGCTGATGGAAATACCGAGCATAGATATGGTGGGCTTGGTGGGGATGGTGAAGCCAGACATTACAATATCGGGCATACTGAGTTCCGCCTTTCTAGAGAAAATGCAGACTTGAGTTTTGGTGGCGTTGAATTCAACTAGGTTGTTTGTTCCCCAGAGGCTGTGTATTCAGCAAGATCTTCATTGACAGCATTGACCTGCCTGCGCCGTGAGTTCTTAGTTTCCTGGGAAGAAATGGGAATTCTGGAAGAGAACGCAGTATGGAGGGTACTATCATCTGCAAAGCTGTGGATGGGGCAATTTGTTTCTCCCAACAGATCATTGATATGAAGCAGGAATAATGTTGGTGCCAAAATTGATCCTTGTGGAACGCCGGAATTGATGCCAATGGTATCAGACGATACACCGTCCACCACCACGTGGAGCGATCTGCCTGAAAGAAAACACGATAAGAGATGGCATAGCTGAGGTGGTAAGCCGTATGATGGTAGTTTGTGGAGGAGTCCTTCGTGCCAAACACGGTCGAATGCTCTCGATATGTCCAACGCGACAGCTAGAGATTCCCCGTGTTTTTCTATTGAAGATTGCCATAAATGGTTGACGTAGGCAAGTAGATCTCCAGTAGATCTTCGGTGGCGAAAGCCGTATTGTCTATGATTGATGATTCCTGAGCTCTCCAGATATTTGATAAGCTCAATATTGGTGGCTTTCTCCATCACTTTGGAGATTACTGATGACAGGGCAATGGGCCTGTAGTTGTTGGGCAGGTTCTTGTTCCCTTTTTTGGGGTTTGGTTGGACTCTAGCTGTCTTCCAGCATGATGGAAAAATACCCGACCTGTACGAGATGGTAAACAACTTGCAGAGAATCGGTGTTAATTCTGGTGCACATTTTTTGAGGATAATGGGTGGAATTCCATCAGGACCGTTAGCCTTATTCATTTTGAGACCAAGCAAAATTCGTCTGATAGTGCGTTGACGAAAGACGATTTCGGGCATTCGACTCTCAACGGGTGGAATGTCTGGCGGCAGTTTTCCTTGGAAATCTAAAGTAGAGTAAAGCGATCTGCCTGAAAAAAGATCGCTGCATGTGGTGGTGGCTGGGTTGTGTCTGTTACAATAGCCATTGTCGTTCTAGATGACAACCTAGTTAGGTGGTTAGTATAGGCAAGTGCTATTATACCTCCTCGCACCAGGTCACCTACTAGGTCTTCATTTAGATCGACAATGCCATAGCCATCAATTTTGGCTCATCATTAGGATACCGTGCAATCTCTACTAGCTTTCCATCACTGGCAATACCAGTCAGACGAACCTACTCGACAAACTCAGTCAGTACATCCTTTCGTCGTCAATTTGGAAATATGTCGTAGAACTCTTTATCAAAACTTGTTTTTTTTACAGTTAGCACGTTTTATTCAAGTATACATATAGCAATCGAGCCGATATAAAAAGTGTAACTGGAATTTTGATAAATCGACCTTTTACATCGCTAATGATTATAAATGACACCCTATTAGCGAGACCGAACAGAAATATAAAAATTCGTGTTGACAAAGGCAAAATGGCATGTCCCATGAGCAAACGACTTCCTGTGTACACGTCGGCAAATGTCCGCTGCGACGTTTCGAATGAATTGTTACAATGGTTTTCTGTGCGTCGGTTGATTTCGTGGCCGATATGACCGGAACGAGCTATTAGGAACACATTTCCGGAAATTTCATTGATCCCGCCAAATACATTGAAATGGGCGACTGCCAAAGAGCCGAATGGATTTTCACCGGACCAGGAAATCATGATGTCAAATCTCAGAAAATCTGACTGGAGACAAAAATGATAAATAGTTATTTATTATACAAGGGTAAAAAGTAGTAGATTTTAGCTCCGTGAGCTTAAATATTATATTTGTCCCATGTATAATACACTATTTTTTTCTGTGACAGCAAAAAGGACGAATCAATATTGAGAAGATATTACATTATATTAAAATAGGAAAATTATTGACGTGAAATTTGTTTTTAACCCTCTGGTGGTGACGTGGTTTTACGAAACATGAGTGGTGACGTCGGTCTGAGAGACATTCCATTTTTTTTGTAATAAAAAAATACAAACAGTCAAAATATAATCAGTTTATATGATTCTGCTCTAAGAAAACATATTTCGAAATCAGATTATATTATTAAAAAAATGCAATCCCATTAAAGATCCTCTTCATCCGTCATACATGTTTTTATGGGGTGTAGGAGTCTTCTTTGTTCTGTTCCAAATATGGATGATTTCCGTTAGAAATAATATTTCATTCGTATGAGAATATATACTTCTGATTGAATACGCTCAATTTCTCATCAAATGAATTGAAACAAGAAATATCTATGTAGCAGATTTGTTACTTCACTGGTGACGTCGGTCTGACCAGGGCCTACGGCCTACTCTATCTCAC